CCCAAGACTTGTTTTCTCATATTTATAGGGATTAACAAACTTTCCCAAGTTCTTATCTCTTCTGTCATTTGATTTGACTCACTTGTTTCTTAACAAACTTTTAGCCATTTTCAACTGCTAAAATAACTAACTGACCTTACAGATGTTTTAACTAGATGAATCAGTTGTAGCTGGCCAGTTAAATTTGATAGATTTGACATCTTAACTGTCTGTCCTGTGGCTGTGTGTTCAGTTTTTCACTGGTTGTTAAAGTGGTTGATCCTGGAGGACTGTTTGCTACTGGAAATCTAAGGATTTTCCTCATCAATGTCAACAATAAGGATCCTACTCTTGTCTGCAGGTAAGGAAATACAGTGTAAAACATATTAATTTGACCCTGAAAAAGCCTTTCATTTCTTTCCATAGAAACAACCACCTGGGGCAAAAGAGCAAAGAAAAGAACATGTTTTCTAAGATCTGAATGCAAATTAAAAAGAATTATTGTTTATTTATTTTATTTTAGAGGTAGGAGTATTTTACCTGCATATGTGCAAGTGCACCTGTGTGTGCAATGCCCAAGGAGGCCAGGAAAGGGCATTGGAGCCACTGGAACTGTAGTTAAGGATGGTTGTTAGCTGCATGTGGATGCGGGTAACCAAACCCGGGTCTTCTGCGAGAACTATCAGTGCTATTAATCACTGAACCATTTCTCCAGTCCCTAAAATAACTTTAAAGTACAAAAATGTATTGAAATTGCAATAAAACAAGGTGTTATTAGTACAATTTGTTTATACTATCTGACATGCTGGCTTGTCTCTCAGTGTCCTTAAGGGAAATTCTAACTACTATTATCACCAGGGTGTTTACAAAACATGTTGAGGGCCAGCAATTCTATGTTCCTATGAAGCTAGTTCTTTTTTTTAAAAAAAATATTTTATTTTTAATGGGCATGAATGTTTTGCCTGTATGTAAGTGCACCCATTTCATGCAATGCCTGCAGAGGTCAGAAGAAGGCATTGGATCCCCTGGAACTGGAATTATAGTTGTTAGCCAGTATTTGGGTGCTGGGAATCGAACCCGGGTCCTCTTCAGGAGCAGTCATTGCTCTTAACCACTGAGCCATCTCTCCAGTCCCCTTAAGCTAGTTCTTAATAGAAAGATAAGAACACAGTGATCATGCACACAGGTTCTCAAGCAAAACAGGCTTGTGGTCTAATAGTGCCTTAACCTTGATATTTACTTCTGAAAGTTATTTCATTTCTTAAATTCTCAGTTTTCACATGTATAAAATGGAGACAAACATGGTCCCTACTTCTAGGGCTGCTGTGAAGAGTGAGTAACACACAAGAGATGCTTAGGGCTTTGGGTAAATGTAGGTAAGTGATCAGAAAGTGGTTTAGCCATGTCTACGATGAACATGATTTCCATTTTTTCACCACTGTGTCCAGTCTGTTACGCCTTTACCACCATGAGCTGTAGAAAATACAGCAAACAAATACCACTCTAATAATCTTTTCTTTTAAAACAAGTTTATTCAATATTGAAAACGGTGTTTTGAGTGTTGCCTCTATAAACTCAACTCTGCACAAAAATGTCAACATCACACTGGATGAAGAGATTCCAGTTGGGAAGATGGTTGGAAGATGTCAGGCAACTGATGAAGATAACCTGGGAGATTTAACCTTTGGACTAGATACAGGGAACAGTTACTTTGCAGTCGACAAAGGTTGGTTGAGAACTGCCCTATTCTAAGCAACTGCAACTGTCTTGTTGTGTTCTTTACTCCTCCATATACCCAGTTTCTAGAGGGTGGGTATAGAGACTAGAACTCCACCATGACATGTTAAACACTTCAGAAATATCTATTGAATAATTCTACAAGGCCTGCTTCCTCATTCCCTCCCTTGCTAACCTAGGGGATCTTCATGACTGTTGCAAAATATTCTTGACTCTATACATCATATCCTTTTAAAGCCCGTCTTCTTAGAACGAATTCAACTCTATTGTCTGGCTTCAGTTACAAATTTCTGTGAGCGAGACTCTCATTGAACTTGCTAGAGTCATTTAGTCTTCATTCAATCAGCTGAGGATTGGGTGGGCAGACTCTCTGGTGTCTAAGGCTGGAGCTGCTGAGTGGGGAAGTGGTGGTGGGTCTTTAGCATGTGGGTGCGTTTGCCCATCTTGGCGGAGACTGCCACTGTCTCCCTCATACCTCCTCAGGGTGTGGAATTTCAGTGTAGTTCCAACTGCCAGGGCCTGTGCTTCTTGGTAAAAGGAGTTACTTGGATCTGTCGGCCACATTCCCTTCTTCCCACATCAGGCTTGGAGAAAGTCTGCTGCTCAGGACTTGGTGAATAAATACTCTAGCAATTTCCCTCTGGCATAGAACAATTTAATATGTGATCTACACTGGCTCCCAGAATTCCTTAGTGACAGGAGGTTCCAGTTGCCTGCAGTGGTAACTGGCTTGGCGGTCTATTTCTTGTTGGGACTTTTTCCTCTGCCTGTTTCCCTCATTCCACACTGTCCTGGATTTGCTCCCTTATAACCTGCCTGCACTCAGATTCTGTCTGACCTTGGACTCCGTGGGTCTCTTACTAGGCTGCTTCTATGGCACCTAACTGCCAAACTGCCAAGAATCTCCATAGGGCAGTGTTGGCGTTGTTTTTCCTTAAGTGCTCATGTTGGATCGTATCTCTCCCCTGTGCAAAATCAAGAGGATTTGCAGTTTTCCTTCTGCACTTGGGGCTTGGTCCCGACTTCTTGCCTCACCGCCACGGTCATGCTCCTTTGGCCCTTGCCAAGTTCTAACCCCCACTCTGATCCTTGTCTCCCTTTGAACGTTACTGTGGGCAAGTAAGCTTGCCTGCCACGGGCCTCTCCCTTGCATTTTTTAAGGACCTGACCATTAGACATTATTATTATTTGTTAAAATCACATTATGGACCTAGGGGTTGGAGAGACGACTCAGAGGTTAAGAGAACTGGCTGCTTTTGCAGAGGACCTGGGTTCAAATCCCAGCACTTATTTTTCTTTTTTTCTTTCTTTTTATTTTGCTGAGAATGAAAAGACACAAGTTGCCATAGAAACAACCACCTGGGGCAAAAGAGCAAAGAAAAGAACATGTTTTCCCTACATGGTGGTTAACTGTAACTCCAGTTCCAGGGAATCTGATGCTCTCTTCTGACCTCTCTGGGCATTGCATGACATGGGCATATTTACATGCAGGCAATACACTCATATACATAAAATAAAAATAATGAATAAAATATCTAAAAAAATTATATTGTGATTTTCATTTCCTTAGTAATATATCATTTGAAAATTGTTTTTTTTACACTTGCTTTGTGCTATGCTATGCACAGTAGTGAATAGGTTTCCCGCTACATACTTGGCACTCAATAAATGTTTGTTAGACAAGTAAATGATGAATGCATAAAAAGAATTCTAGGTCATGCTCCCACACTGTGTTTTCACCTATGAGTCTCTCTGCTGGAAGCAATCTCTCAGGTGCTAATATTTTCTCCTATATAGTCTTCAAGTCCTAAAAAAGGTCCTCTTCTAGAAAGTCTTCTCTATTCTTCCAAGCCAAAAGCAATTTTGCTTTTTCTATCTATAAACATAATATGATTAATAATGTATTTTGGTGATAAGTAAATCCTATGCATGCACTTTGGGCCAATGTCTTAATTCTAATGAAAAGGGGATAGTTTTTACTTTCTCTTTTATGTAGTTGCATATATAATGAAGTCATTTTGAACATATTTGCCTTATCCATTTTGAGGAGGATGTGCTGATTTGTTGCAGAAAAGGGGACTGTGGTTACTACTACCCGTCTTGATGTGGAGAAAGCTGGGTTTGCAAGTTCTCAGGCCTTCTCCATTAAGGCTTGTGATGGTGACCAGAGGTGTGCAGCAATTCTAGTGACTGCCTATATTCGTGGCATTAATGACAACTCCCCTTTCTGTGACCGATATCTGATTAGGTAAGCTGACATGAGTGGGCCGGAGCAAGAATTCAGAGTGGGTGGGAAGGAGATTCTGTCATATTTATTGGCCCAGTCTGACATGTTGATTGATCATCAAGTTGAATCCTGGTTCCTCAGAAATGGTCTGCAGGCCTTATTTATGACTGGAAGCCAAGTTTTCAAGATCTGAAGTGAATCAATGGTAAGAGCTTGAGGTTTGGGATCACAGTGAATCCATTCCTAATAGTTGTAGCTATGGGATCTCTGATCATTTACTTAAGCCCTCCAGTTTCTTTTTATAAAATGGAACACCAGTAATACTCATTATAGAGTGGTTGTGGAGAATTAATGGATAATTTATGGGCAGTCTCAGCATAGTCCTGAGCATGTGGTATATTTCACACATGCTTATTACTACAATTCTGTTCTCTAGTACCTAAAACCCTGGTCACTGTTTCTAGTTAAAGATTTTGTGTCTAGAAGTGAAGATATAGGTCAGCTGGTAAGGAGCTTGCCTTGCAAATGCTAGGTCCTGAGTTCACCCCCATAACCCACATGAAAAAGCCAGGCATAGTAGCAAGCACTTGTGTCCTCAGTGCTAGGGAGGTGGACACAGGCAGATCCCTGGGGCCCAGTGACCAGCCAGCTCACCCTACTTGGCAAGTTCCAGACCAGTGAGAAACAAACAAACAAACAAACAAACAAACAAAAACAAGATAAAACAAAACCAATAGCAAACAAACAAACAAAAAGTGGTGGATTGTTTCTGAAGACCAGATTTCAAGGTAGTCCTTGGGTCTCCACATGTACACACACAGGTAACTGCACGTACATCACACACACACACACACACACACACACACACACATTCTCTTCTTGATTTTAAAGACATAACATGGAATGCATACGTCTTCTACTGTGTGGCTTTCCCAGTGGGAGAAGAGTACTCTTCCGCATGTAAATGGAACAACAACAACAAAATAACCCGACAGTTTGGGGAATGTTTTGATGTAAAATATTTCAAGTCAGCATTTTATGCCAAATAGGTGATGAGGAAATTCTGAGTTTCTGACCTTTTGGATGCCAAGGTTTGGATGAGGATAGTGGGCTTATATGCCTCTTTGCATGGTTATTTTTGCTACTTGAAGCTCAGTTGCTAAACTCAACACCTATGTCATTCTGTGTCCTCTCCCTAGCCTCCTTTTCTTTCACTTTAAGTTAGCATACAAAGCGGGGAGTTTCATTATGGCATTTTCACACACATTTGGCTTTACTGATTGTCTTTTCCCTTTCCTCCTGCCCAATAGACCCTTCTACCCCCAGCTTCTACCTCTTCTGATTTTATGTCACATGCTCTTCATTACCATCCTCCTACTTCCTTAGAACCTTTTCTCTCTCTTATGTTCCCCCCTTTTAGTTTCATGACCCATGCTTATACTCACTCTCATATAAATCTTCATATATAATAATGAGAAGCTAGAGCCTATATATGAGAGAGAATATGTAGTATTTGTCTTTCTGTGACTAGGTTACCTCAGTAATATAATAATTCCACATCAATCAGTTGTCTTGTCTTGGTATTGTCATAATTTTATTTTTTCTTTATAGCTGAATAAAATTCCATTATGTATCTGGGCCACATTTTCAGTATCCATTCATCAGCTCATGGGACCCAGGCCAAGTTCCTAGTTATTGTGAATAGAGCAGCAGTGACTATGGATTCTTAAGTATCTCTGTGGTAGGTTATAGACTCCATTGGGTATATGCCCAGGAGTGGCATAGCTGGGTCATATGGCTATCCCAGTTTCAATCTTCTGAGGAACCGCCACACTGGTTTCCATAGTGATTGTATCAATTTACTCCTACCAGCAGTGATCAAGGATTCCTCTTTCCCCACATTGTCACCAGCATTTGTTGTAATGGTTTTATTGATGCCATTCTGACAGAGGTGAGATAGAATCTCAAAGTAGTTTTAATTAGCATTTCCCCAGTAGCTAAGAATGTTGAACACTTTAAAATGTATTTGTTGATCATTTGTGTTTCTTCTTTTGAGAATTGTCTGTTCAACTGTTAGTTCATTTGTTGAATGGCAGGTTTGGGGGTGTCTAAGTCTTTCAACTTTTTATGTATTCTAAATATAGTTCCCTGTGTGGCTTATAATTGGCAGAGATTTTCTCCCATTCTGTTGGCTGTCTGTTTGATTTGCTGATAGTTTCCTTTGCTTTGAAGAAGCATTTGAATTTTGTGCAATACCCATTTGTTAAATCTTGGGCTATTTTCTGTACTCTTGGTGTCCTGTTTGAAAGTTGTTTACACCTCTGTAGTCTCTTCACACATTGGAAAGCTGTCCTCATTACTTTCAAAGCATTACTCCTGAAAAACTAATGAAAGATAAAACCCAGGCTTGCTGCTCACCACCCATGTGGTCTTGTTTCAGCCCCAATCCCAATACTTTTCCAATGAAGGTGGCATCGATCTTATAGCATTGTTATAAGGACAAAATGCAATCTCTGTTTGGAATGTATTTAGTGCAGAAGTTAGCCACGGGATTCTCCTCTACCTAGTTCTACTTTATTCCAGAAGGAGGATCATAGTTCATTAACCAAACACCCATTACAGGCTTAGCCACTTGTAGCTGTGCTAGGTTCACCTGCTGTGATGGAGTTGTATCGTGTCAGGGTGATAAGAAAAAAACATGTAAAGCAGCTGTGAGAAAACAATGACGAATAAGCAAACAGCATGACCTTAAGTCTTGGATGCTGTACTTTAGCTGTTAAGAGGAGATCATGTGGGCCTGGCAGGAGTCAGGGAAGCTTCCGTGAGAACTGGAAGAGGGACCATGGAGGAATGAGAACCTAGTGAAGACATGGGTGGACGCGTAAGAGGGGAGCAAGTCCACTGTGAGTGTAGAAGGGTGAGAATATCATCATTGTGACTGTAACAAAACACTCAACAGGACAATTTAAGGGAGAAAGATTAATTTTGGTTCCCAGTTTGAGTCCAACATGACAAGAAAGGATAAGGGAGCCTTTCAGTTCATGGAGAGGGAAGCTTGTGGCAGAGGCTGCCCATGTGGTATGGGCCAGGAAGCAGAGGGCAAGACAGGAACTAGGGACCGGGCTTGAACTTTAAAAAACCTGTCTCTACTGACCCATATCCTCCAGCTAGACTCTGTCTCCTAAAGTGTCCACAGTGCCACCAGCAGGGGACCAAGTGTTTGTTGAAACCAAAGTCTGTGGGGGAAATTTCAGATTCAAACTGTAACACTGTGCCGAGCAGATGTTCTAGAATGCAGCAATCCCAGAGAATGATCTGATTCCCACTGAGGCCTTCCCCATTGAGGTGGTAGCCTGGACCAATGTCCATCTGAAACAAATGTCCAGCTCAGCATAGAAAGGAGGACAGTTTCACTAAATTCAGAGAACCTGCTGGGAAATGGTTACCTAGATGGTGTTCCAAAGCTGGTTAGTCTGATCCAGGATAAATAGGATGTCCACACATGGACATCATCAAAACGAGTGGATGTCCACAGGAAAAGTATTACATCTTAAAATCATTTTTCCTTCTTGGACAATTAAACAGGTACACAGGCAAGGATGTGATTGCAAAAGGCACAGTAGTTGCAAAGCTCTTGTGTCATGACCTTGACAAACCACCCACTGCAATTCATTACGTTCCGACCTCAGGCCCTGTTGGTTCTGGACAACTATTTGAACAAGTACCAGATGCTGAAAACTGCATTCAGGTGAGCCACAGTCGCTGTCACTCTAGGGAGTTTTCCCAAGGAGAGGGAGTCATGTCATGGTTAGCTGGGGCAGTGCTGGCAGGTTCCAGAACAGGAGTTCTGATACACTAGAGGGGTGTTCTGGGTCCCTCTGCTGTCCTGTTGGAAGGCATTTGGGAAAGTCTTCACTAATTTGCTTCTGCCAGCATTTTCTCCTTTTTATAATGAGCACAAAATGATTCACTTCCTATTTAGCTGGGGAAATCAGAAGCTAGAAGCATGCTGATTTCCTTAGAGGTAAGGCCGTGTGATTGTGTGGATGTGACAATGGCTTATTCTCCTGGCGCTTGGAGTGGCTGATACCAGCTCCTCCCTGTTCCCCTTCTGGACTCAAACTTTCTATTGACAGCATATGAACACCACAGATTTTTATCTTTCTCAACATGATTCTGCCTGTGAAGATATTCCTCCTAGTTTCCAATTGTTTCCATTTATTTTGGAGTGCCAAACCATGATAGCTTGTCATAAACATTCCTCACCCCCAGATATCATCAACTACTTTCACACTACCTATTCCTGCCCTTACCCAGAAAACTGAGTTAGAAACCAATAGACAATGTCTTTCTTTCTCTGATCCTAACCCCAAATCTTGGCAAAGTCCACAAGCTGCTTACTGAGTTCTTGCATATGATGTTAACTTTGGAAGTGTGGCCATTGAGCCAGGCGGTTTCCTAGGTTGATGCTCATTTTACAGTGCAAATCCAAGCCATCATTTTAAACCAGAGTTTGGATGAAGACAGAGCATTTGTAAACATGATTCTAGCTAGAAATTGAACTTTCACTTATGCTCTATCTGTAACTGAATGCCTCCATCCATAACCCACTTCTAATTGATTGTCTGTTTCCATGTTTATCCTTTAGGTATTAACACTTATTCCTAAGAGTTACCTTTTACATCACAATGGCTCAGTTATCTTGACTGAGAACTCACATTGCAGGTTGCACAGTACCTATTAAAACACTTTATTATCTGATTGAAGCTGCCTGTTTTGTTGTTGATCTTACTAGATTGTAAAATTTATACATATTTCTAAGTGGCTATCATTTATGAACCAGGACTTGCTATAGTGCTTGGTTCACCGTGGATACTCAGTATGCTTTCCTGAACAGGTGAGTGATTCTCATGCTAAATTTTTAAAAACGTAGTTATTTCTGAACCCTGGGCTTCTTGGTGTCATACTGATTTATTTCCACTTATGCCAATTGGGATTCATGCTAATACTGCTAAACTAAGATTGTCTTTAAGTCTCTGATACAGACCATCTTATGTATTGCTATAGGCCCACTATCTACAGCTGTAACTAAAACCTAATTAGCATGAAATAAATATTTTTGAAGTAGTGTCTTTAAAATTTTTTTTTATTATTTTTACTTTATGTGTATGAGTGTATTACCTGCATGTGTGTATAAGTGTCCCTGTGTTGTGCAGTGCCTGTAGAGGTCAGAAGAGGGTATTGCTGGAACTGGAGTTCTATTTGGTTATTAGCCATCATGTGAGTGCTGGGAATTGAACTGGGTCCTCTGCAAGAGTGGCTAATGCTCTTAACCACTGAACCAACTCTCCAACCCCAACGATTAACTTACATTTTTAAAAATATGTTTTTAAATTTTTATTATTCTTATTTTATGTATATTGAGTATATTGCCTGCATATGTATAAGTGCATCCATGTCATGAAATGCTTTCGGAGGTCAGAAGGGGGTGTTGGATTCCCCTAGAACTGGAGTTCTGGACAGTTATTAACCATCATGTGGGTGCTGGGAATCTGGATCCTCTGCAAGAGCAATTACTGCTCTTAACCACTGAGCCATCTCTCTAGCCCCCAATAACTCATGTTTTCATCATGCCTTTTCACTTATGATATCTATTCAAAATATTTTCTCTCTCTAACTATTTTGCTCAAGGCAGCACAATTAGCGTGCAATGTAGGCTATGACCTATATTTCTTCTACTGTTCTAGAATATTTTTTTTCCAAAAGTGACATACTCTGGAGAGAAGCCTGAGGTGGTCCTTTGTTCTGCCAAACGCCACTTACATGTATCAGACTCTGTCAGACTCACATGTTAAGATGCTGTTCCTAGGATATAAAAATGACCAAGCACTTGCCTTTTTCAGAATGATTTGTTATTTAAAGCATGTACATTAACACTTTTTGGTTCTGGGTTAGAGAGATGACTCAGGAGGTAAAGGCACCTGATGCCAAGACTGATGACCTGAGTGTGATCCCCAGAACCCACAAGGTGGAAGGAAAGAATGAATTCCTGCAAGATGTCCTCTGACTTCCACACTCAAGCCATAACATGCACATTCATGCATGTATACACAGAGAGAGAGAGACAGAGAGAGAGAGAGAGAGTAATAGATACATATAACAAATATTAAAGAAAATTTGGTTCTTCTGCTGAAATAATATTATTCTTTAAGGTTTCCAAAGAGCTGGATTATGAGAACGCAGAGGTGGTTGCAGCAGGACACATCTATGAAATGATGATTTCAGTGTCTGATGACTTACTTCCCTCTCATACAGGTAATCAGGATAGACTTTTCAAGTCCTTAGACTCTTCACTTTGGATTTCCTTTTGAAAATTTTAATTGACTTTTTGTGTATTTCATACAGGAAATCATCTTTATACCCCCTTCCCATGGCACCCTCTCCTCTGCTCCCCCCTCCCACTGGAGTTCTACATTCTGTCATTTGTATTAAGGCCTATTATGTAAAGCTAGTGTCCCCAGATGTCCCTCAGTGCAAATTCATACACCTGGGTTTAGTTAGCCTATCTAGACTCTCTCCTTTCAAGAAGATCAGCTCTTCCTCACCCAACAGTAATCAGCTACCAATAATTCTTTGACTAATATTGGGGCTTGCTATTCATTTCCACAGTTCTTTGCCGGGTTTTTGTCTGCCTAAGTTTGCATGGGTCTTGTGCATGCTGACACCATTGCCGTAGGTTTATATGAGAAGGGTCCCAGGCACCTGTAGGACCATTTCTGTACGGTCATGCACCTCCTCCCTGGATCTTACAATCTTTCTGCCCTCTCTTCTGCAATGGTCCCTGAGCCCTGGGTGGGTAGACCTCAATATAAGAGTCCTGTCTAAGGACCCACACTCTGCCGACTCTTATTCTCTGTGTTTTGGCCATTTGTGGCCTTTTGTGTTCCTGGCCCCTGTTGCATGAGGGATCTTCATTGATGAGAACTGAAAGATGCATTAGTGTTCTCTTCATACCTTGCTCTATGCTCCATGAGTCTTAAGTGTAGAGGTTGCATCCTAGATGTGCCACTTAGGCTTGGGTAATTCACAGAGAATCTCTGTGTGTGACCAGTGGTGTAACTCTATAATAATCTAATAATCTCTGTTGAAAAAAGAAGCTACTTTGATGGGTTGTGACTGGGATACTTGTCTGCAAATTTAAGGATCCATATTTTGCACATAGTAAGAAATTACATTTGCCTGGGGATATGAAAGCCTTGGAGATTTCTCTAAGATCTATGACTTCTCCAGTTATGTGTATTTGACTAGGTTTACAGTACCAGCCATGAGTTTCCTCCCACTGAATGGGCATTAAGTCCAATTAGGTAGCTGTTGGTTACCCCAAGATAAAAGGGCCACTATTGCACCAATGTTGTTTGCTATGCTGGTCACTGATGTAGTTTTTAGGCCTTGAAGCTGGGGTTGGGCCATCAATTGATGTTCTTTCTCCCTTACCATCTTGCATAGTGGCCTCCAAAGCTGAGAGCTAGCCTTCAGGGAGGTGACTTCCAGGTCAGTTCCATCTCCATTGCTCCAAATCCTGTGTCTAAAGTATCTCCTGTCTTCAGCAATAGGGTCTTACCATCAAGTTCTGGGAGGCAATTAAGAACTGTGGCAATAACCTGTGTAATTTTGGGAGTCTCTTGGACTACCCTGGCCAACAAGTCAAAGGAAGGTTTCTACTGTCTGACGCTGTTTCTTGTTATGTAGTCTTCAGCTGTACTCATGGACTCATGTAGGGATATTGTATGTGTAATTTTCAGTAGGGTTTGGGCTATATGATTCCCCCTGGTTTTTTATACTAACTAGGCACTATTTATGTCTCCTCTTTCTCTCCCTGTCTTATCCTCCCTCTCCATCCTTCCCATTTACAGTGTCCCCATTTTCCCCATTTCTTCCTTGATACTCACTTTGGATTTTTAAAAATTATTTATTTCATAACCAAATGATTAGAAGAGGCATTTCATTACAACAGCATTGACATATTCAATAACAATTTCCAGAGCTAAGATGCATCTCTTTCAGAATTGGCTGTAAACTTTTAGGTTTACACATGAATTAATACAGTTATACATTATTGTACTCAGTATAAACCCTATAAAACCTAAAACTGAATGAGGTTTTAACCTTTAAAAAAGATCTCTATTTCATTTTAGAATCTACTGTTTCATACAGAAAAGCTCATTTTTAATGCAAATAACACTTAGATGTTTGTACATGCGTCTCTAATCTCTATGTATCTGATTATTACTAGTCACAGTCACTTACTTTCTAAGATCCTTGGCACCTGAGCATGAATGTAAAGTCATCAGGTAGATTTCAATGGTAATGTTTTGCACATCTACTAATTATTAAGGAGCAAATTTTTATGCTTTGAAGAATTTTTTTTATACATCCACTTCCCAGGTAGCACCCTCCCATAGCCTCCCTCCCCCACTAGAGCCCTTATACTCTGATATCCCTGCTACGTCTCCTGTGTTGTTGGCATCCCCAGCCATTTTCCACTACTTGTCCTTCTGGCGAATCTAGTCAGCCTACTAGTGGTAATCAGTTGTCAATATTCCCTTTGGATAAGAGTGGAGTCTGCTGTTCAATTTCCCAGTTCTATGCTGGGTTACTATCTGGGAATTCCTTTGGCCACCCTGGCCAACAACTCAGAAGGAGGTATCGCCTGTCTGGCATTGTTGCTTGCTATGTAGCCTTTACCTATGCATATGATCTCTTATAAAATTA